GAGTTGTACCTTCTTATTTATACCATTAAAATATATTATATACAAGGCATAATATATATATATATATATATATATATATATATATATATATATATATATCCTTCTAATCCGATTCTAACAACCAGCACCCAAGAATTTCTGCCATGCAAAGTATAAATCAAGTTTACAAATGCATATTTTTGAGAAATTCTAAAGCTACTCAAATCAAGAATTACAACGAATGCTCTAGAAAGAAGACAAAAATTTTGTTAAATTTGTTGTTTATTAATGTGATGAAAAATTAATAAATAATCGTTTGTTTATTTTAATTTTATTGAATTATATTTAATATATAATTGTGTTTTCATTTGTTTTATTTAATGTAACATTGTTAATATTTCTATATGTTGTGTAAGTACACAAAATTTAGTTCTTTTTCCTTTTCAAATTTCAATATATTTTCATTTAAATAGAATATATATCTTTACAGTCTATCAAAAGTCCACTGTTGAACATAAACATTATTATAGTTATTTGGCATAGTTTCAACGCTTGGAAAGCGGGTTGTCAACCATTATTTAGCTGTTATCAGGACAATGCTGCTGTTTATCTTCTTTGATGTTTCCCCATGTCGCCTCATACACCACCCATGGAATGATATGAGGTAGCAGATAATCTTACACTGCATGGTAAATTAAAATAGAATATTATAAAACATTCGTTTTTATTTTATATACCAAGATATTACAAAAAAAAATCCTTTGTTTATGCTTTACAACGTATATTAACTAAAACATTTTACCACCTTAACCATTAGGTAACATGATTAAGCCACCTAACCATAAGTAAGTCACCTAAAAAAGGCCTTCCATAGATATACTCATAGGATGACTTGCCATAGTTGCCACGCCTGCGTGAAAATATGCGTTAAGCTAGTTGGCCACCGCAGTTTTTTATTATTATAAGTTTTCATCGGGAAAGTGCTGCTGCCCCATCCCCATTTTGTATTATTGCTTACGACGCGGGGTAATATCATCCCGTGTACAGACAAATTCTCTTGTACGCCACAACTTGCCGCACACAAGACACTAACTTAGCAAAACATGCAGGAAATCGCGGGAGTAGGCTCATAACCGTGTTTTGTACTACAAAACCTAAGTGGAAACCCTTTCCTTTCGAAGGTCTGTGTTCAGCACTGATCTTGCGATGGAATGGTATGTTAAAACATTATTGATTTTTTTCTCGACACAAGGAAATTTTTGTTTATTATTTAATATTTTTATTCTCCATTAATATTTAAGTACATACATAACATGTTGTTATTTATTAGCGATATCACACTTTGTGCTAGTAGCGTTTTCACTTAGTGCCGTCGAAATCCAAAGAGTTTATTAAATGTCGAGTGAAGTCGTCGATGCGCCGTTGAATTCGGAATGATGATTCTGTTTTTACGTCGTTTCCGCCCGTAGTTTTTAGTCACAGAATGTATTTTCAAGATAAATGAATTAATCATCAGAATTATAAAATAACATTTTTTTATGTTAACAAATAAGTTTTTTGTATGAATTAAGTGCTGTGAATATAAATAAATCCATAACGGGGGAAATGGAACAATATCTGGTAACCCAGTGAAAGTACCTCCCGCCTATTTCTATCTCAAAAGCATACGCGAATGCTTTATCTAGTCAATCCTCTATCTACGATCTACGCCTGATAGGCGCGACTAATTTTGATTTGTCATTGTGTGCGTTAGCTAGTGATGTACATTCTACTTACAAGGACTATCGAAAAATGATTCTTAAGGAAGTGGTAGGGTGAGTGGGGGAAAGATCGAACGGTTTTTTGATGAAATGAGCAGTGTTGTGTTTGACGTCTTGTAGAACAGTACATATTAACTTAAGCTAAAATTACATCTATAGTGAATAAAGTACAGAGAGCATTTTTTTTATGTTATATCGATAAATCTCTGTAATATTTATTCATAAGCAAAAAAAAAATAATTACAATGTTTTTATCGAAAGAAAAAAACAGGGGGATAGATGAAAGGATGGTGGGGAAAGATCGAAGCAGTTTCTAAAATCGTTCAAATTAATGTCAGACGATATTGATGGTCAGTAGGCTACAGTTTTAATTGTCCTGACACTTCATAACTGTCTATAATATCAAAATACCTTCAAATAACACAGATAACACAACTTATTTGTTTTTTATATTTAAATCTTGCCCCGCCGAGGAAAGATTCAACTAGAGGTTCTCAAACTTTTCACTTTACTTGAATAAGATTATACAGAAAATGAAAGATATCAATCATATAAAAATTTTTATGTAAATGCCAAGATAATTTTAAACACAATTACGTACATGTACCTTTTACCATTTCCGTTAACAAAATATGTAGCACAAAACGTAAAAAATTAAATATTTCAAAATTAAACAGCAAACCAATTAATAAGATCTTAGAAAAATAGCACAACTAAAAACATAGAAAAACTTTAAAAAGAAATATTATCTAAACATTAATAAAAAAATTGGTAGTAGATCCACGTCTACAGTTCACTGTAACACATAAATGAGCAGGGTCGACCGGTGCGATACTACCCTCTCACAGAAAAGTGAACTACTCTTTCCAATCTCTCAAGCGCCTCCAGATGTTTTTACCGTTAAAAACTAAGATAACCTTAGCTCAAGCACAACTTCTTCCTCTCATTGGCTACGCTGATGTTAGTTTTTTGGATGCTTCAGAGGAGCTGTTGAACAAACTGGAACGTGTTCAAAATTTGTGTATACGTTTTATTTTCGGTCTTCGTAAGTTCGATCATGTTTCAGAGTACAGGGCTCAATTAAAATGACTTCCTATCCGTAGACGTCGAGACTTACATGTGTTATCATTTCTTTACTTTCGTCTCTTTAATCCTCTTGCACCTCCATATCTCCGCGAGCGTTTTGAGTATCTTGTACCTCGTGAAACTCAGTGCCGGACCACTAAACAGCTGCTTCTCAAAACTCCTTCTCATTTCACAAGCCGATGTGGTGGATCCTTTACTATAAGGGCGGTATCAAGCTATGGAACTCACTTCCACATGACATACGTGCTAGCTCTTCTCTTGATATATTTCGGAGCAGAGTAAAGAAATATTATCTGTCAACTTAGAATTACAAATATTTACACATTTTATGTATTTATATGTATAATTGTATATATATATATATATATATATGTATGTGTGTATATATATATATACATGTATGTATGTGTGTGTATGCGTATATATGTAAGGAAACACCTGATGCTGAGTAGTTGTTCACAATCTACATGAGAAAATTCGTACACTCTACCAGGAAATCCTATTGCGTTATTTACAACGCGAATATGTCATTAGGCCAAATCTTGGTGAAATGAACCCTGAAAGTTAGCGACATCAGCTCCATGATGATGCACTGTATCTTGGTGTTAAAGTGTATGAGCTCTTGAAACATCCAGATGTGATCAGACAGCCTACAGATATCGCATAGTTCTTTTCATGCTGCAAAAATTTCTACAAAGTTGCAGCCATCGAAATTAAAAAACGATATAACATGGAAGATCCTGTCTTGTCAAAGCTACAAGTTTTTGAGCCTGCATCTGCACTCTCCTACTATTTTAGGAGCAATTTCCCTACACTTATGCCTCTTATGGAAGTGGTCCCCCGTATAATCGCAACAGCTGATCATGCAAAGAAACAAATAAATGACAATCAATGGAGGAGTTTGCCAAATGCACAAGCTCGTCATCCTAAAGGGTTGAATGAAATTAGTGAGCCAGATAAATTTTGGGCTCAATTACTGAAAACTGAAGACTTTTCCGAGCTAGCTCATTTTGCCCTATCTTCACTGTCCCTACCCCATGCGAATGCTGACTGCGAGCGGGTTTTTAGTAAAGTCAATTTAATAAAGACAGAGATACGAAACCGGCTAACTGTGGAAACAGTGAACGGCACACTTCTCTCTGCAGAGAGCGCAAAAGGTTCAACTCGTGCTGGAAAGTGCGTCAATTTTGAACTTACAAAAGAAATGTATAGTCGCATGACAAAAGATAAAATATACCGCAGAAAAAACGATGACAGTGAGGATTTTCCTGATATAATATTTGGAGAGGAGATGTAAACTAAGTTACCTTTACCTTTTTTTTTGAGTTTTTACTTGAGTAATAATAAAGATTTTTTAAATACTTATAAACTTGCAATAGTATATTTCATTGTGTAAATCCTAAATCCATTAAGTTTGGTTTAGCACGTTTTCGATGCATAGTAAATGTACAAGGTTTGAAAGTCAAAATACGAGATTTTTAGCTGCCTAAGTACGAGGAAATATTTTTTCTATTGGCAACCCTGCCACAGGGTATATTCAGGGTATATGGGGTTTTTGGCGGGAAATTGACCGGCGGCGGTTTGCTGCTCCTGTATTATTGTTTAAATAATGGTTTGAAGTGGACTTTGATATGTAAAAGTGTTGCGATTTTGTGTATTAAGGGTCTACGCATGTGAACTATTAGTGGAAACAGTGAAACAAGTGCTCTGATGGTGATGGATTCTCAAGATAAGCTTTGCATAGGCACCTTTAGATACCATCGCCAACTATCAGCTGTCTGCTGGATCAAGTTGCCGCCAAAATCTCCCAAGAACTGCACAATGTGACGCATCAACATATTGTGAAGCAGTATACTATGAAGGAGTGGGGAAATTACAATAAACCGAATAAAAATACTTAAGACTTGGCCTAAAGGTCTAGATACCAGGCCATAAACTCCAAAAAAAAAATATTCAGGGTATATTACTCTAGATTACTCTATGCCACAGGGATATGTTTATAAACAAGGCGTACCTTTTTTGTGACTTTTCTGTTTTCTTTTTAAATTCTGCTACATTAAAAGTATAACATATAGAAAAACATAGATCAATATAAGATCTATCATCTATTGTAGAGATAGAGAAGTATTGATTAGCTCATGTGATTTTAGTTGTAAACATAACCTATTCTTTACCATGACTCCCGAAAAAGTTAAGGAAGTAGGTAAAATTTGTATACCTGGTATGCGTTTAAGTTTATTAAATAAAGAATATATTTCTGGGCCTGGCACTTACGAACTGAAAGGTTATATATATGCAACTTTGGCGGGTGTTTTGAAAATGGAAGAAGATGATAAAACTAAGGTGAAAAATATTTATTATTAAGACGTATTTTAGTTAACAATCTGCTTATATAATTTGGTACCTATTCTACAACTCTTTAACAATATTTCATTTATTTTATATGTGGTGTGACTACATTCTTCCTCTCATTATGCTGCTATAACCAAGCTCGAATAAGATTGGTAACTTTTTAAAAAAACTGCTATATGTACAGGCGAAAGTCATAGTCTGGGCGTTTAAGGTTATATAAGACACAAATTTAAATTTTATGAATCATTGTTTAATAAATTACTTCCTAGTGTTTTGTAAGGTGAGGCATTCTAACTTAGTCCTCAAGATTCACAGCGCATCTGCATCTAAATGCTTTATGGAGAATAGATACAGGTGTCTGTGGGCATTTATTTACCAACAGCACAGCTAGCATGGGCTGGGACATATATACCCTCTCCGTAGCATGGAGTGAAATGAAAGATAAAAAATAATACTTTTTTGACATTTGAAAGAGACAATTTTGTCCTAGTTCATTAGACGTGGGTTTCAGTGTATATTCATACAAAAAAACTATCTTAGTCTATCTCCCATTTCATCTACTGTGTGCCCATACTTGAAGGGTGGATAAAACTTAAGTGAGGGGATAAACATTTTCTTCTTTTCCGGGGATAAAATTGTCTCCTGCCCATGCTAACTCTGCAGGTATAGGTAGTTGTTTGTGCTTTACTTATATTTAAAAAATGCCTCCGTTTCACAGGTTTTTCTGAAAAATTCATGAATGATTTTAATTTTTTAGGCAACAATAATCTCAGTGGAAAGCCCAAGGACACCAAGTGTTCTGCCAAAAACTGGTGATGTGGTAACAGCTAAGGTAACAGTTGTAAACTCACGCCTTGTCCAGTGTATCATACTTTGCGTAGGCCCTTCAGTTTTAGTCAGACCATATAAAGGAATTCTCAAGAAGGAAGATATTAAATCTACAGATAAAGATAGAATTGATCCATACAAGTGCTTCAGGCCTGGAGATGTAATACTTGCTAGAGTGGTATCCTTTTAACTTTCTTTAGTTCACAGTGCTGTACTTGATGTTATTAGCAAATTAAATTCAGATTTTTCAATCTGGACCTAAAATTTATTCATAGGTAGGAACAAACAAATATCAAAACTCAGTTCAGTCAAGTTATCATTTAATTGATGAATATTTTTTACTTCTTGAAGTGGCAAAGGGCTGGTCATATAGCTTGAAGAACTAACAACTGTTAGGAGAAGAAAAGTTCTTGAGTGGCAACCTCGTACAGGTAAGTGAAATGTAGGGCGGCCTCTCACTAGATGAATTGATGACCTGGTAAGATATGCAGAAAGTTTTTGGATTCAAGTGGCTCAGGACCATACTATGTAGCATGCCTTTGGGGAGGCCTATGTTGAGCAGTGGACTTGTGAAGGGATGTAATGATGAGTGTGATGATGATTTTATTTCTTATATATCTTTAATCTGATGCATGAAAAATCGGTCTCTACTGTTATAATACATATAATTATAGATACACAAACGCGCTCACGCACGTACGCACGCACGCACGCACACACGCACGCGCACACACACGCACGCACACACACACACACACACACGCACACGCACACACACTTCAATAATGTGGAAAATAAAATTCATTTGCTATAGTAAGTATCAATGACAATATCGTCATAGTCGTAGAATAGTGACGGGTCTGATAAAATTCAAACTTTACAGGGCAGCCATTTGAAATAATTATGATAGATTTTTTGGCATAACTTTTTTACTTCTAAATCTGTAATTATGAAAATTGGCATACACATTAAAATTAGGGTTTGTTTTAAACTGGAATAGAAATAACATCTTAAAATTATACAGTTTTCCAGAAAAATCACATGCTTCATTTTACTTTGGAGTCAACACAGTCACATAGTATTATCCGATATTGTACTTCGGAAAGTTACTGTTCAAAGAATGACGGATGTTAGTTTCCAATCATGTTCTACCGACTTAATGAGTAATATTTTGGCGGAAGTGTTATCTGTCATATTATATTTGACCATGAGTAAGTAAGTAGGTAGGTAGTCGGTAAGTAAATAGGTAGGTAGGTTGATATCGTAGGTTGGAATAAGGTATCTTATAAATAAAAAGAATATTTGGTCTGGTCTTTAAACTCTTTTTTAATCAATATAATAAACATTAATCTTGAATTAAGTAATTATGAAAAACATTATTTTTGTACTATGTAGACTAAGAAGATTATAATGTTTGAAGATGTTTTGACCTGATTACTTCTTTTTTGGTAAATTATCTATCTAAAACTTAAACTCAAATCATTATATTAGCAAAGTTATAGTATCACAATCTTTCTTATAAGTATATAGGGTAGTAACAACATTAATTAAATGAATAAATTCTTAAAAATCACAACTTCAGAGATAAAATTAGTAACAATTAAGCAACTAAAAATATAAGTAATCAAAAAGTATAAAACAATTATATTGCACAATTATTTTGTCAGATTAATTGTTATCATAAGAAACATTACGCCCATGAGTTAAACTTCTAAAATAGTTATGGTATTTGATAGGTATTATTGAGGTATCGCAAAGACTAATTACATCCTTATATTTATCATTATTGGTTGGAAATGGACCCACATATGCTTTACGTAAGATTGGAGTATTGTAATATCTAGTCTCCTTTCGAAGTACAAGGGTCAAACCACCACAGTACAGTAGTGTAGTAAGTATGATGTATTCGATTAGTGAAAGATTAGCCCGGACAGCTTGGGATAAATATGACGGAAGCACTTTAATAGAAACAGACATGAGGGAAAAACATAAAAATCATAATCGGATTGTTGACGATGAAATGGTAAGGTCGGTTTGTGCCCACGTTACTTCATTTGTGCCGGTAGAATCTCATTATAATAGAGCAGCGTCCAAAAAACTGTATTTAGATGGTGACTTGAGCATCGCTCGGATGTTCAATTTATACAAAGAATGGCCTGAACTTAATCATTTTTCACATACAGCTTCTAGTCTTAGACGGTAGAGACATAGTTAACAGTCATTTTAATTTGAGTTTCCATATACCCAAAAAGGATACTAATTTTGATCAGAGCCACAGTTTTAAACTAACACAAAATCCGTTTCACGACCTTAGAGAGCATTATGAAAACCATTTAAATAGCAAAAAAGTATCTAGAACCTTGAATAAAAAAATGATAAAAATGACTCTATTAATTCTAATGGACGCATCGTTTGTGCTACCTTTGATTTTGAGAAGGTTTTGTCGTGTCCTCACGGGCAAATGAGTGTATTGTATTACAAGCGAAAGCTATCATGTTATAATTTCACTGTATACGATATGGTTGGTAAAGGTATGGTTGGTACAGGTTTTACAAACCTCTATTTTTGATGAGCCCTTTGGCAAAAAACACTTGTAAGTGAATTGACGGTTTAAATCTCTTTGAAGACCCCCTTTTATTCTTCTGTTTTGTAGTATAATTTGCAACATGCAACCATTGTTTTTCACGATCACCTTACTTCCAAAACTTTTTAAACGCATCCTGTCTTTCTTCTAGAGTCAACATAGTGTAACATTTATATCTACACGTGCACATGCTACTTATAGTTTTTGCTGGAACAATAACACCCTTTTTGGAGGAGTATGCTTTTCCTGCATTCTCAACGGTTAAGCGTTTTCTTTTAACTTCTTCCTAATCATCATTTTGGACAATTTTTTACCTCTGCATCGAATAAGAGGCGCCGGAGACGACTGGCATGAAGACACAGCTGTGCTGATTGATTGACAGTTGCTATAGTCTACAACATCGTGAGTGGGACTAAAAAATCGTTACATACTTCACCATGGGTTTTTGCTGGTGATGGCATAGGTGTTTGTATTTTGCTGTCAACAGGCGGGGTAATCGTTTGAGGAAAAGGTGACAGATCTGATATCAAGGTAGAGGTATTTAAAGGGGTTAATACCGAGCTGATATTTAAGAGGGACACGACACCACGCTGATTTTCTGACGAGAGTAAATATGGTGAGGATGCATTTTGATACACGGTCATAAAAGGATCTTCTCTAAGAACAAAATTAGGTTATGGTATGTTCGTGTTTATATTTTCATCTGTTGATTTTATGATTTCGCTAGTTCCGTGTACGCTATCTGAAAAGACATCCTAATAAATGTCGTTCATCTCTTCTATTACGTTGTGTGCTCCTAGGGGTAATGGCGAAGGGCATTCTGAAAAGATATCACTATATGTGAAAATATATATATAATTATATATGTGAAAACATATATAAAAAAACCGTAAGACTATTTACAATAAAAAGATTCGAATGTATAAAAATAATAAAATTTACTTGTTTTTATTTATACAGATAAATTATCACTCAGATCAGATTATTTTTTTAGAAAAAAATGTATTAAATATATACAAATAATCATTGTTTTTCAATAGAAAAAAGGCGGAAGTGAATTTAGTTCTAAGAACAAAGTGGGATGGTCAGATATGACCGTTAAATATAAAAGCGTGTCCACAGAATATCATCGTTTGTGATTACGCGACACTATCATGTCCAAATAAAAATGTAATATAGTTACATACAACTTAAAAATTCAAATTGTCAAATATAACAAAAACTCAACGGAATAATTGTAGTTCTATCAGCTAGCAAATATAATTTTTATACAAATTAAATTTTAAATTGATTAATATTTTCCGTAGAAAACCGACGGACAGTCAGAACCGATTCTTTAATTATTTAGTTTGCAAAATTTGTATAAATACAAGAATTAAATAATACCAAAATGTTAATTCACAATTCATTAACTTCCCTGGAGTCCATGTTATGCAGTCCTCCTCATCAATGTACTCTTCATGAGTAAAATTGGTAATTTGTGCATTTTTGCTTGTTTCTTCCACAAGTTTTAACATAAGCTTTGATCGTCCTGTTTTCATTGTGGCACACTTTTTAACATGGTATGTATAATAACTAGGCACGAAATAGCTAACAAACAGGCAAACAAAGATAAAATAGTGTAATTTTGAAGAAAAATCTAATCCGCTGCAACACGTGGGCGAGTCCGACGAATAGTGGCGATTGCGCGGATTCGTCGGGAGCGGGAGGAGGCGACGGGAGATCCCTGCGCGTCGTACAAAGACGAGTATAAACAAGCGTCATTTTTCTATGAGTGCCTATCAAATCCGTCTGTTTACCGACTGATTTTAATTTGTAATTGAAAATACATATAATTTTTTCTTTAATGCAGTTATAATATTTAGACAATGTATTATCCAAATATGGTAAAAAGTGAATTTTGTATTTTTTTCAAAACCGTCATTATTCTACGATCATGACGATATATTACTAATAGATGGATCAAAATATAAATTTTTCTGCAAATGCAAAACAGCAAAATTTATATCAATGTTATTCTATATTCAATTATCAAGCACGTCGAGCGCTTTTAAAAATCTTGAATCAACATGATTTTTTAAAACTTCATTACTCTGCTATTTGTTAAAATAAAATAAATTTAAAATAAAAATAAAAAAAAATAATTTCATGTAATTCATGATCTTTACCCCCTTTTGAACCCCTTTGAGTGTACCCTTTGGCGCGCTCTGGCGGCATGTAAGCCTCCTAGCAAGCCTACTGCCAACATTTTCCGTAATTTTGTGTAAATAATTTAATATAAATAAAAGTTTTTCCGTAATTATAATCCGTGTACCTAAAAATAAATTAAACCTTATAGGTTTAATTTATTTTTTAATTTATAAATTTTTTCGCCCCTAAATTTGTGGTGTTTAATCGCACGGGGGCCGCTTTATGCACCAGCTTGTCATCCAATGAGAATACTGTGGGTTCCCGGGTTTTCCTATTTACCGTCTTTTATGCCCAGCATGTGTACTCGTGTTTTAAAACGAGGTTCACAAGTTCGCAAGTAACGCATCTGACCGCACCGCTTCTCACCACATTTTCTCACGCACCGTATCTCGCTTCTTCACCTCGCGCCGTCATGTAATTTAGATATTGAACTATACAAGAAAAAAGCAAGTTTATAGACATTTGCAATAACGCTATATTTCGCGAAAATCTGTGAAAGTTATATGTGTGAAGACAGCCGTCATCCAACTAACGTGTAACGCAGCTGCTGGAGTAGTTCAGGTGAAAGTGCACATGCCTTACTTCACGTCCGTCCTGTAGCCCGAATTTGGTGACATTTGCGGTATCGCGAAATAATATATTCTCATGCATTGTACAATCCATAATCTACGTAAAATCATCCCCTTAATAACTCTGAACTAATATTTGGTTATTAAAATCAGCAAACCATATTTGCCGCATTATAATAAATTCGCTCCGCCTCCCTCAGGCCAGGATAATTAATATTATCCACCATTCATATTTATAGTGTTCATAGATTATAAAGACTGCTGTACTCATAGAAATTTCTACTCCAAAACAAACCCTAATATTATTAGAGATATAAATTACCTTAATATATTATTATATTACTTTCCTTAAAACTGTTTTAAGTTACCAATGACAGAGATTCACTGGTACCATTTATCCACGGCGGAAAATGAACTCGGAGTCGTCATAGCAACCGCTGCGGGATCACCGCAAGGTGTCAGTATGGTGCCCATAAGTTGGTCAGAAATGCAGTGCCCTAAAACCTTAGTCAAAGAACCGAGAAAAGTGGCCAGGGTTATACCTGAGAATATCAATCAAGAATTATTCCCTGTACATAATAATCCGGAGGAGAAAGAAAAGGAAACAAAATAATCATATTGTATACAATAAATAAAACATGTTTTCCTATGATGTCTGTTAATTGTTTTATCTTTTGTTTTTCTTTAATATAATTTTACTCTACAGAATAAAGTAATGGAACAGGCTGTATGCCAATGTCTCACTGTCTTGCAAGATTTTGTCGAGCTACCAAAATGGGTGTTGGCAGACTGCATCAGTCTTCAAATATTTTTTAATTCCTTAGACATGCAGGTTTTCTCACGCTGATCCCCTTAACCACCGATCACGAGTATAATAGCAATTAACCATTTCATTGGTGCCAGCGGGGATCGAGCTTCTGAGGACAGAAGAAATCGAGTTCTGAACTGACTTACAGTTTTGACATTGACATTACCAACCTCGTTTCTAAATTACATTACTTTAGTGAAATTGAAAATAAATCAGAAGTAAAAAAATATGTTATGAACAGTTCCGATTTCAGCTATAACAGCACCTTGGGCAGAAGTAGTACTTATGTCCAGTCGAGGAAAAAGTTTCTTCACATTTTATATACAAATTAAAGACTTTTTTTTTCAAATTTAAATTACATTTAATTATAATATATATTATGTGCTATTTTGTTCGATAACTTGTTGCATCATGTAGATAGTAACATAATCCCGTTGCTGTAGAAATCTTGGGATTTTTGATCAAAAAAATGCGTTGAGTAGTTTCGACAGTCCTCTATTGATGTTAACCTAACTACCCAAAGAATTCTGAAGAGACCGAAACTGGTGAAAATCTGAGGGTGCAAGGTCAGTACTATATGGTGGATGCCTTAAAGCTTCCCAACCAACTTGGTTTGGGAAGCTTTAAGGGATCCACCACACACACATGCTCTCTCTCTCTCATTTTTGCTGAGTGGTCAAAGTTGTGCGTCTGGCGTTAAAGAAGAGTTTAAGACCAATCCTTTTCTGTTGTGTAATTCCAGGCGTTTTTTCTCAATTTCTTGCTTGAGTGTACTAAATGCGCAGGTCCTTTTCTCGTCTTTGTGAAGGGACATCCCAGTACCAGCTCCTTTCATTTGACTACACTTAACTACATTCAACGCACTCGACTACATTCAACGCAGAGCGGCGTGATCCACATGCCTTGTGACGACGTTGCATCTCAGTGTATTAATCATATTTTATTTTATTAAGTCTTCTATCGTACAAACCACGGTAAGTGCTCAAGTTCAGAGGAATCGTTCGGAATTATCAACAGCCTGCAGCAATAACAATTATTAATTAGATTATACGGCATTACACGTGGTAGAGCCATGCCGCAGCTATATTAATAGTATAGTTATACCACGAATTGGTCGGCTCGACCCGGGAAGAACCACGCTCTCACAGAATACCAGCGTCAAATAGCAGCTTAATGCTGCTATGTTTCGTATTGTAAGTGTAGAGAACCGGAGACCTTTTTTACTGAAAAAGAGGCATTCTATCTTAGTCCTCACGGCTGACAACACATCTGCATTTTAATTCGCAAACGAAGATAGATGTAGATGTCTATGGGCCACAGCAACCACTTACCGCCAGGTGGACTGTGTGCTCGTTTGTCATCATTATTCTATATAAAAAAAATTAAAAACCTCGGTAAGATTCATCCACATCATCTCGAGGACATTATGCAATTTACCGATAGCGGTTTTTCCGGACCGTTACTTAGGGACCTTTATAAAAAGGACCTACACCTTCAAGGCAAGCAATTACCTGCAATTCTTCAGGTGTTGCAGATGTTTATGGGCAACGGCTATCACTAACTTATACCAGTTTGCCCGTATGTCTCCTCTTCTATAAAAAAAGTCGATAACATTTTTATGTAATAAGGTTGACTAACGAATACTTGAGTCCACCTGATGGTAATAGGATGCTATGATGTATAGACATCTAAGTACGTTTATTCTCGATTTTAAGAATCATAATGCGTTGTTATCAACCGGATTAACATGGAATGCCTCGTTTCCAGTAGAAAGAATCTCCTGCTCTCTACGCGTACCACACATAATTTAAAATGAAAAAAATTGTATAACCGACTTCAATATAAATTATTGAGAATAACTCAAAAAAACTATTGGTCAGACCTTGATGTTGAAATTTATATGACCACATGAGAAGCACCAGCTTTCAAATAAAAAAAGAATCATCGAAAGCGTTCACCCAGAAAAAAGTTATGAGGTAACACACATAAAAAAAACATACAGTCGAATTGAGTACAGGAGGTACTCAATTTAACTGTATGTTTTCGACGTCGGTTGAAAATACAGCAGAATTAAGCTGCTATTTCACGCTTGGATTCTCTGAGAGTGCGGCCCATCGTCGGTCGAGAGTTTGAACAAAAAGAAACTACAGATGTTATGTTACCTCTGTGGCCTAAGATGGAATGTTTTGCAGCCTATTATAATACAGTGGCTCCGTGGGTACAGATCAATCCCATCTGCCAAGGAACAGTATTATTATATTTATTATATATCTTTATTATCAACACATGATACAGAAGCCATTTGTACTCTAACGAAGACATCGTTAAGACCATTTCTTGTTAGTTTGTAGCTAAGACATATCTGATGCAAGGAGTCGATGGAAGCAGAATGGTAGTGGTACTTTATTACTGTTATTTTGTAGGTGGTAGAGCCAAGCTGCAGCTATATCTATACACATAAATAAAATTGAAGTGTCTGTTTGTAATGTCAAAATTACAGCTTTTTACTAAATGCATATGAAAGTATATACTTACGGTACTACGAGTAATAACAAAAATACAATTTTTAAAGTTTTTGTCTGTCTGTTTGTTCCGGCTAATCTCCGAAACGGCTCGACCGATTTTGATGGGATTTTCACTGGCGGATAGCTGAAGTCACAAAGAGTAACTTAGGCTACTTTTATTTTAGAAAAAGAACTAAGGTTTCGCACAAAAAAAAATAAAACAAAAATTAAGCACAGGTGTACTTTTTATTCCCTCATTCTGATAATCCGATGGGACAGCTAACCGACACGACCGGAAGGTGCGCAGAGTCAACGGCTTTATGTACTTTCCGAGGCACAGGGGTTGAGCACCGCAAACTCTGGGCTGTTACTGAGAATTTATAAATAGGATAACTCAATAACTTTTTTTGTTGGCCTGACCCGGGATTCGAAGCCAGGACCTCACGGTCAGCAATCGCTTTTACGACCACTAGACCAATGAGCCAGTCATTTATAATTTAAAAAAATATATGTGTGCATTTCATTTCACACGCGGTAGAAGTGAAACCTTCAAATGAAATGAAATATAAAATAAAAATATTTCATGTCAAATGATTTATTTAATACTAGCTGTTCCCCGCGACTTCGACCGCGTGGAATTTGAATTTCATGGGTTTTAATTTTTTTGCGCGGATCCCTAAATGTTGTCCTAAAATAAAAGTAGCCTAAGTTACTCCTTATAACATCAGCAATCTGCCAGTGAAAGTTCCGTCAAAATCGGTCCAGCCGTTTCGGATATTAGCCGGAACAAACAGACAGACCAAATTAAAAAATGTATTGTTATAAATACCGAATATACTTTCATATGCATTTAGTAAAAAGCTGTTGTTTTAACATTTTTTTTTATAGAAGAGGGGGCAAACGAGCATGCGGCTCACCCGATGGTAAGTGACTACCGCCGCCCATGAACAACTGCAACACCAGGGGAATCGCAGATGCGTGCCGTCCTTTTAAAAAGGAGTAGGCTCTTTTCTTGAAGGTCCCTAAGTTGTATCGGTCCGGAAAAATCGCTGGTGGTAATCGATTCCACAAGGAAGTTGTGCGAGGGAGAAAACTTCTTCTAAATCGCACAGTGGTTGGCCTATGTCCAAACTAACGGCCAACGCCTCCCCCTTGGACTCCACTGCCTCCCCCCATCTATGAGTTAGGTAACCTAGAAGATCACTAGCTGAGCGACCTCAACAGAAACCATACTGGCGGTCACTAATCAGCTGGTGATCCTCAAGGTACCGCATGAGCTGGCTGTTAATAATGGTTTCCATTACTTTGGAGAACAAGGAGGTGATAGCGATAGGCCTGTAGTTGGACGGATCTGAGCGATCGCCTTTTTTAGGGATCGGTGCACCAAAGCTGTTTTCCATGAGTTCGGGACTACGCCTAGGGAGTAGGAGTACCAAAAAAAAACGCGATAAAACCGGTGCCAACTCCGGAGCACACGTCATCAGCACAATAGGCGGGACTCCATCAGGCCCACTCGACTTTTGACGTCCAGGGAGAGGAGTGCTTTACGCACCGAGCGCTGTGTAAACAGCACTTCCCGCATGGTGCACTCACACCGCGGGATGGTCGGCGGTATGTTCCCCCCGTCATCTAGAGTAGAGTTGGAAGCAAAAAGAGAGCCTAGCAGATCGGCTTTCTCCTTTGCGTCATGGGCCAGTGAGTCGTCCACCCTGTGTAGAGATGGCAGAGATGGCTGACAGAAGTTCCCTTAGACAGCCTTGGCGAGAGACCAGAATGCACGTGTTCCCGAAAGGAGGCGAATTAGTTTGTCGCCAATTCTGCCAATGTGCTCTGACTTTCTTGGCAATGACTCTTGAAGGACCTAGAGGCGGAATTAGACTTCTTTTTAAGAGCGCTGGTATTTACATCCCGGGACGTTGATGCGTCAGCCCAGGCCCGGTAGCACTCCTGCTTATAACGTGATGCTATTTTACAGGAGCGACCAAACCATGGCTGGGATCTGCCTCCGATGGGCACCACAGAGGATGGAATAAAAAGTTCCATACCCTGAAATACCACATCAGCAACAGAATCGGCAACAACGCTGTGATCTTCCGGCGAGAAGCAAACCCGCCCCCAAGGGTAGGAGGAAAAAAAAGACCGCATCCCGTCCCAATCGGCCGACCTATAGTGCCAAACACAGCGGCAAGCTGCAGATCGCAACTGCGATGGGAGCGTGAGTGGCACCATATTCCGGATCAGACAATGGTCCGAAAAACCCGATATCCGTCCGGATGAGAGGTCAGCAGAAGACCCAACAGG